CACAGCCCCGATTTGGAAGCCACCAACTCAAGCCACTGAACTCGGGGTTCTGGATTGTGAAGGGTGTTTGTGGTCATAGGGATCCTTACAACCATCACGCCAGCTGGGGGTAATGGAGCCGAGGGTGCTCCAGGATCAGAGTTGCTTCACCAATAGGAAGGATCTGCGCATGCCAAACAATCCAAAGCTCTAATCCGTAATCCTGGCTCTGGGTTCTAATCCGTAATCCGCCCCAAACCGGACAATCCGATAGTTTGTATTGTAATGCGTAAACCCCCTTAGGATTAAGGATTACGTTTGATGAGGCCAGACAACGGAGAACATCAACGCAAAAAAGTGTGAGGAGTCCAAGTCCTTGCGTCAAGATCGTCAAGAGTTCTGGGGAACTTCATTGGACATTCTGGGCTGACGCATTGACACATTGAAACCCGGTCTCGCATGGTAAGGTCTACTAGATTTGATACACCCAACTGCATGTCACATGGCAGTAACTAATGCGTTTTCAGTGCAGTGCCTCGAACAGGACGATACATCACTTCATATAGCTCCACGAATCCATTGTGGGCCCCTGTAACTTCCCGGTCAAAAAATCATTCTTTGCCAAGTTGCTCATCCCCGAGCTCGCTGAAGAGTGCCCGAAGTTTCTGCAAATGCACTTCCTGGCGGAACGAGTTTCGGCGCTATTTTAGGCTCCTGGCGGCTCTGGTGGCTCCGGCTTCGAGATCGACGGTTTTCGCCTTGTTGTCCACCATTTTTTGGACGGCTGTGGCATGATCATTGGAGGCAGCTTCAATAGCACTTTGACCTCATGTACCAGTGGGCTTCATCAGGTTGGATGAAGACAGGAAAAGGATAACAAGAATGGTTTCAAACAGGATTTCAAGTTCACTCAGACTTCAGGAGAAGAGCTTGTCTGGGTACAATTGCATCTGCTCATGCGCACATTCACATGTAGCACATGTCACGTCTAGTCTATGTATACTTGCTAACAATTCCATCTGTCCAGCATGCATGCTGAGGCAAGCTGTGCCAGTGCCAGTTTCAACAAAAGGTCCTTTCAGTCCGAATTCTCAGGAGCAGCTTGGCATTCTCACTTCTTAGAGCTTCGTATCCCCAAGAAACTCACCTCCGCACGTGTGAATCAAGTGGTTCATGTTCCGAGCTTTTGGGAAAGTGGATGCTACAGGAAATGGATCCAGTAAGAAGTGCATGTTACTTGTATAAATTAAAACTGATCCAACAAACAAGCCTACAAATATCTACAAATACTCCCGTACACCATAACTGCGATCCAAAACAATCCACTTCTGCCCAGCAACAGAACACCGCCGTCACCACCTGGAGGTGCACAGCTTAAGGGCGAAGGAGTCGCTTCGGAACGCAGAAAATAGTTCACTTCGGAACGCGGGAACGGTATCGCTTCGGAACGCGTGTCAGAGCTAGTAGGTTGGAGGCCATCGCTACGACTAGTCCGCACTGTCTGGTTGCTAACTGCAACCCACCCCACCCCCCACCCCACCCCCCCACCCAACCCGCTCATTAGTTTGCACGGCAGAAGTGTGCTTTGAAAGGCCATCAAAACGTGTGTGTATGTGTGTGAAGATGTTGACCTTGTTCAATCTGGCAACCCTTTCAGCACTTCAGAGTCGCACTGTCTGGTTGCTAACTGTAACCCACCCCACCCCATCCCCCCCACCCCACCCCATCCTTCATCCTTAAACCCTCCCCATCTGTGTCTGTGTGTGTGTTCTAAAGTGAACCAAAAAATCTGTGCGTTGTGTTCCAAAGTGATCTCGCTTTTTGCTAACCCTTCCATGTTTTTGTGCGTTTTGTGTTCCAAAGTGAAACATGTTTTGTGTTCCAAAGCGATCTAAAACCCTGTGTTTCAAAGTGAACTAAAACTTGTGTTCTGAAGTGACCCCGCTTCCCCGCTTAAGGGGGGTTGGTGAGCAAACCCACCGTCCCCAGGGCCCAAAGCACCTCCAAGGCCTCTGAATGGGACACAAAACATTTCACAACTCGAGGGTTGAGGTTCGTTGCCCAGGTAAACTTGTGAGAACTTGATCAAATACAGAGTGTGCAAGGCTGGAACCGGCCAATGAGATGGAGATAACAATCCAAAAGCAAGAAACAACAAGGATCCACTGACCACTGAGATGTTTGTCCTGCGAGCAACATTCAACCGGGAAACACAAGACGCAACCTCACATCAACCTAAAGGAGGACATTATTAAACAAAGGAGTATGGCAGAAAGTGTTGCCGCATGCTCAGCAGATTCTCAGCTCCAACCCGAAACAATCAAGCGATTTGCCATTGAAGTAGCACAATTGATATGACAATCAATGCTCTGCTAAGATGAGTCAATCACAACTCAACTCATAGCAGTTCAAATCTTCTCTCCTAAGATTGCTCGTCAATGTGCGAAAGAACCGCCCCGCACTCGGGTTCGGAACCAGGAAGAACTCACCACAAGAATAACCAAGCCAGGCTGCATTGAGAACCGCAAAGTAGGTGAAGGACTGAGCGCCGGAGTGCCAAGTGAAAAGGGCAAGAGACAGAAGATTACAGAAGGTTTGGGTCATGTTGTGGACCGCAAAACGACACAAAGACCCCCCGTTGCAACCGCGTCTAAAGCATGATGGTTCGATCATTGATAGGATAGAAATTCACTTGCCGAAACCATGACCAAAATCACATTTCAACAGCATCCCTTATGGGTTAACTGCTTAAACATGTTCTAATGACTTTTGCAGGGTGGCGAGGTTCATGTTCAATCGGCGAAACGAACGATTTTCCTACGGTTCCCCGGGTGCGGCGCCTGGGTTAAAAACCAGCACATTTTTGTTTAACACGAGCTCTTTCGCACAACCGAAGCAAACATAAATATATACATATATATTATATATATATATATGATCGAATGACAGTATATTAGACCCTTCCCATTCTGAGCCTCGGTGAAACAATCCTATACGTATAAAAATCATACTGCATCATACTGCGGAATGCCATCAACAATAGAAAGAGTCAGCGAACCAAAGCAGCTCTTGCGTTTTGTGCGGTCATTCATCATGATTGTCCTCATGCGGTTCATATGTCATTGTCATCCAACGCCACAACCCCAAGGCCGACAGGTTGCGATGTAAAACAAGAAGAGCAAAGTCCTGAGATCGCCGCACGGTCCGCTATGGTTGACACGATCTTTGAAAAATCAAAAGATATAATGCTGGATCCCCCTCTGGGCAAAAGAGTGTGCTGGACCGCAATCCGGCAACATTTTCCGCCGGGTTCCCAAAAAACGAGAACCTGAAAAAACATCCGGATGCAAGAGTCTCAATAACAGAGATGATGAAAGGTTGGTCTATACACAAGCAAACTGCCTCTGCGCCACAAATAGTTTTTCTCTAACACACTCATTCCACAACCCAACACTGGAGCCTTCCCGTTCCCGTTGCCCTCGCCCATCTGCCGAAATGCCTAAGAGCACGACCTTCACAAAATATTAGCAAATTTGTGCCCAAGCAAAGACTTCCAACAACAAACCAAGGAGTATGTGGCAAGGAGCCCCTCTTTCTCTGCAACCGTGTCTCTAAAGCTCTTTTACAAAGTACGTTGCTCTCCAGTACTTTTTAGTTTGCCTCAGGACCTCGACCCTCTAATAAACGTAGCAGAACTCATGGCTCCATTTAAACATTCAAGATTCAAAGCCGTCAAAAAGCCGAGTACAGAAACTACGCCGGACTTATGGGACATTACGCCGGAGTTACCAGGTGCTGTTTTTTGGGGGCAACTCCCTGCAAAACATTGAGATTCTGAACAGCACACGTTCCACAACCCAAAACTTGTCCGGCAGGCTCTGCAAGCCTGCGCAGCTAGAACTATATTTCCCAGCGCCCCGACGTCTTGAAACAATGGGAATACATTGTCGTCTATGTTCTTTCAGCTGGGTACACCCACTTGCCTTTTTCAACGCGTTCATCACACGGTATCGAATTCATTTAGATCACCTAAACGGATCTGATTGAGCCAGTGTGAACCGCTGCTGGTGGGTTTCCTTCAAAGAAATGCGGACCACAAAGAATGCAAAGCCTTGAGAATCCACATAAAGTGACTTGGAAAAACTGCCGGACCAAATCCAGAAAAATGCCGGAGTTGGAAGTCCGGCGCCGGACCCTGTAAAAGTGCTGGACTGAAGATCTAATGTATAATGTGTCTATTTATACCGCGGCTCCAGAAACATCACATCCATCTGTTCTTGAACAAGGGGTAAGGAACAGCAAGCAAAGGGAAAAACAACCAATGGGAGAAGAAAGCAACAATCAAAGCAAATGGAGCAAAGCCATCCAAAAAGCCTCCGAACATGATTCTGGAAACTGCACGGGACAAAGACCCGTGCAAGAACAAACAACAGGCTCATGGTTCATGATGGTCAAATGAAGTGATGGCCGGATGGCCCGGACATTGACGGCCGTTGCGGCAACGGCCGCCTCAACGACTGTTGCTGTTTGGCTGTTTGGCGTCAGCTCCAACGATCCAAGGCACCACCACGGGGACACGGCTGAGACTGCGAGAAGGGGGTCCTCCCAATCCACGCCACCAGCAATGCTCATGAAGAGAGTCCTGGGGATAGAGAGGAACCTTCAAACGTTAAACCCAGTGGATATGCCACGTGCTGCAAATTAATACAAATTGAGCAGCACATATATGACCATATGCAAAATTAGTGGATATTCAGATGTATACCAATTGTGCACTAACTGAATAATACAGAACGTGTAATTATATATACATATTGTATATACTACTGTATACTGTATACTGTATATCTGTATATTATGTAAACAACTCGCAATTCTCAAGTTTCTCCATGTCCCGCAGGGAGAGCCCAAGTCTTTGATCCATCCCCAGGTTGTGTGAAAGAACCCAGGAATGACAGCTCTAGCCAGAAACACGAGCAAATTCTCTTTTGCATGCATCCTGATTGATCTGAGCTTAGGCCTAGTAATAGCGCCTGGTCACCTAGTCATTATGTTTTGTTTAATCACTTGCTCGAGTACCTCTTCGGGTTTTCTTAGCCACGCACCCAAGCCGCAAGAAAAACATGTCGATCACGTGCAATGTGTATATAGATTAGGCTTTGGGAAAAAAGGCTGTTCCAAGGATTTGTAGAGAGTAATATGACTCACTGGCTACCAGTAAACAAACATGCTTGATGACACAATCCAGTTCATCCAGACCCAACAAAGCCTCAGACTCTGCATACCAACCCCCCCTTCTTCTGCAAAAACGAAGTGGCAGCATAGTAATCGGCAAAGATCTGAAGTACGAGTTCATCGCCCAAAGTGTGCCTTGAACCAACAGCTGAAACGAGGTCATGCACAAACCGGTAGCAGCTAACAGGTGGCGTCTGCTCACTCGCCGTCTCAAACCCCCTTGGCTTCGCGCCACGGCGGACATGAAACACACCGGCGAACCAGCAACACCACCGGCCAACGGACCAGTGCCCCACCAAACAAAGGCAGGAACGAACTTCCGCACCATACCGAGACTCTTACGACGAGCACAAAACATGTCACCTGAAACAATCCAGTGTCCAAACATGATGGGTTTTGGGTCCAACGGGCTACCTTCATCCAAGGCAACGCCGCCCTCAGAGTACTTCATGTCGTTCACCTCAGCAACAACGGCTCTGAATGCAAAGTCGGTACCCGGCTACTTGCCACCAACGTCAAACACCTCCGCCTGACTCTCCCCGCCTGCTAGTCATAAGCTGCATAAGGCAAGCTCGTGCTACACATCGGCGGCTGGGGCCGAGAGGCAGTCTCACAGAAGAGCAGTGCAAAGACGTAGACCTGAAGGGCGAACAGCCGCAGGTCTAGCGGATTTGGGCCGAGAATGTGTGGTCCATGTTCCTTCTTTCAGGTTTTACGGGGGTCTCTGGGGTGCTTTCCGTTGTGCAAATGCCGCGGACTCCGATGTATCATGATGTATCCACAGGTCTTGGCCCGATCATGTCCACCGGTGCGAATTTCTCCCTGAAGCTTTAAAATGTACTGCAGGTTCCTGTAGGATTTCAAACCCACATATAGTACATATCGCTGTTGGCAGTGGTGATGAACATTCTCAGTGTGGGTGAGCCATGAGGAAGTCGCCTTCTTCAAACACTTCGATGGACCAGGTGGAAGGGCACAAGCAAGGGCTTGATTGGGGCCACAGGGTTCTGGCTACAAGTCACAGGATGCAAATAGGGAGGCAGCAACAAAAAGAAAACAACAAATCAAGATCACTAGCTTCCCTCCCAGCCCGCCCCTTTCTGGAGGGGTGGATTCAAAGATATATAAATGGAACCAACTCCCAAGCTTGAGTTTTTGCCCGGTGCTTTTCACCCTTGAACCCCTCCGGTCCATATCTGCCCAGATGCAATCAGCGACAGAAGCAGCAACGCCCAATAAAGCGCTTTGAGGGTATGAAGAATGGACTGCACCAAGGTCCTGCTGGCATACGCGCTGGCGCTTAATCTCTTCAACTGACTTGTGCGACTCGTAGGGAATGAGGGTAGCTGGATCCAAAGGAATCTCTTCACTTACTCCCTACTAAGCACAATGCAGCCCGAAGGTCTGCTGTCCGTGTACCCAGCTGAACCCACGAATTCACAAAAATGACGGTGCAATGGCCAAACTCACTGACGTTCCTGGTTCGAAATGGTGGGATAACCCTCCTCTAGGACCCTAGGATCTGAACATGGACCCGTTCTGAAACATTCCTCTATCTGTACTAATAGCCACTCACTTTGAGACCCCAATTCTCCAGGTGCTTCCACCCTTTGTGAACGCAGGCTGTCCTCAAGGCAGCTACAAAGCGGAAGATTCTCGTGAGCTGGAGCACCTTGACAATACGCGTCACTCTCAAGATGCGGAAGACCTGCGGCGCGCAACTCATGTGGAAGACCGTGTGCTTCACCGTGTGCGACCGTCACGACGCAGGGAGGGGGCTCCAGTTCCGGCATCAACGAGATGGTCAAGCATGATGTTAGAAAACCATGCAATGATATGCATAATATAGGAGATTGCAAAAGATCAGGAGTCATGCTCCACCGTGTTGCACGTCATCACAAATCACCACACCGCAAAGACTTCACAAGTTCACAAACCACCACACCTACACGTCACCGAGCTACACACATAGCTACAGGTCACCACACCGCATACCACCACTCATGGAACATAATCACCCTTGTTCATCACCGGAATCAAACTCCTGAAGCTGATATGTTTTGAGAATTCTGCTTACTTAATCCTCTTGCTTGCAAGTGTTTTGGTCTTAATTACTCATTGTCTTGTACAGCAGGAATGTGCATGAATGTGCCAAGCCCCTGGAGTGAAAACACATGTGCCTATACATATATATATATATACATTATAGATTAAGGAACCTGAGGATGCGCAGCGATCCGCGGTTTGATTGGTTGCTTTCCTCCTATGATGCTTTGTCTAGGAGCCTATGGGTACTGTATAGCCACATGACATATGATCGATATCTGGCCCACATTTAGAAGTGAGATTCGCACTTATAGATGGGTGTCTTAGTTGGGGAAACATAGACCCATATCCCTGGTCGGTCCTTCCAAAAAAGGAATGCCGGCCAAAAAAACGCTATAGGAGCTACCACATCGCAACATGCTACAACTAGAAGCCCATGCTCCCACTTACCAGTCATGGAATCCCCCCACTGACCCGCGACCACCTCCCGCCGTCCCGTCAGTCCGGCCGTCAAACTGGAGCTCGTCGGCGCGGTCTTGGACATGCCCTGCGAGACCGGTTTCGTCATGGCTTAGTGAGTCCTGCACCGCCTTATATTTATATATGTTTTAAAAGTAACACCATGCAATGGTATCGCAGTTTATCAAGTTCTCTGAATGAACGCATCTTCAAAGCTCAAATGCTTTGCTGGAAAACAAACTTGAAATGAATGGCATGTTTCTTTTTCATGCCATTAAGTCTTTTAGCAAATATCTTTGCATTTTCTCAGGCTGGCATTCTATGGACGAGGTAAACAGTTGATAGCAAAGGTCGATAAGTGCCCTTCTGGGGGACCCCCGTAATGATCCGCAATGGTATTTTCATGTATATATATATATCCGATATATCCTCGTTGTTAACAGTACATGTTATTCAAACATGGTCGACATACATTGGCTTGTAATAGGTCAAAGGTGTTTTCAAGTCATTAAAATAGGTCAAAGGTACTCTCAAAGGTGTTTCAACGTTTAAGTCTGCCACTCAGTTAAAGCGTTGGGCTTACATGTTCTAGAATTCGTATTATACTAAATGAGTCACATAAAACGACAAAAGCGTGCTTAACCACACCCACTTTAGATTGTCGGTCGCAACAGTATATATTACTCTGTATATTTATATAACTGTTCTTCACCTCTTCACTTGGCATCCGAAAACAGTAATAAAGTCTTCCGAGGCAACTGTCCTTAGTTGCAGTGGCCGCATCCAGGGCAGTTTCCCATATGATGCCGGTCACCACAGTGATATCTAGCAAGGTCCACCTCAGCTGGAAACATGTGTAACGCCTGTAATTCTACGGAGCTGGAAGGCAACACCTTTTTCCGACTATATAGTTTCCAAACCATGTGAAGTTCGTCATCTGAGTTGGGCAACCCTCAAAAAGACATACGGTAAGTCGACTCGTCACGAATTCCGTGTAGTGAGTTTAAGTCATTCCAAGTTGCGGCCAGTCTTTGGAACACAATAACTGACGAGCGCCTCCGGTGGCAAAGTCCCAACAAAGCAGCGTAACTCTCTGGGTGCTGTACACAATGCTCACACCCACCAAATTGGCCGGCTATGACTTATTATGACTTGGTGACGAATTACATAGTTGTAACATGAAACTGGTGAAACAGTCTTCAGTTTTGTTCTCCAGGACTCATGAAGTCTGTAGAGTGGTGCATATGGGAGTACATTACCAATCTCAATGAGAACCTCCTGATCTACAGGAGAAATGTACATACTCATACAATCTCATGCAGTCTATTGTCAGGTTGCCAGATGGACGTGCATTAAACAGAAACACACGTTGGAAGACCTCCGACATGACTGCTCCGGGCGTGGAGCACCGGTGGGGAAGACGGTCGGACTGCACCGATGGCTGCGGTCCTCATGGGTGGTAAAGGTCATTTCAATACCAGCCCGGACGTAAACTCAGTCAAATCTCTCCGCAATGTTCCTTGCCATGCGAAAGTCTCTCTGTCTGTCTTTTTCCCGAATGCGTAGCGAAGGGTTCTCGTTTAACTCTTGGGGGTCTGGGGGTAGAGCCTTGTTCGCGACCTGTTGCTTCTATGTTCGCAACCGTTGGCAACCGTCCGCAGTAGAGCGCTAAGGCGCTGCCATTGGGGGAAGCTTTTGCAAGTGACTTTTCATGGATGTGTCACGTGTCAGTTTGCGACGCTATTCCATTGTGATTTGCATGAAAATGACATGTCGCGCAAGAAGCGTGATGCATTTCGCTGCACAGGCGCAGCGTTTTGTGAGATCCTCAGTTTGCTACGCAGTTCCATTGGGATTAGCATTTGGAGAGTCGTGTTTTTGGGGTGTTGGATGTGGCCGTGCCATTGGGATTTGCGTTTCAGGGTGTGGCATCGAAGCTCTGTTTTCGTGACAAGTCTCAGCTGAAATGGCGATTTTGGTGGATGGGAGGGTGCTCAGAACGGATCGAAATCATTCCAAACGTGTGGTGTGGTGCAAATTTTGTTGAAGCTCACATGAGATGATATTGTCACTTTTCGCGGCAGGCGCAGTACTTTGTGCGGGTTTTGAGGCATGGAAGTGTGATTTTCGTGGCAGGCGCAGGGAATCGTGAGGTTGCGAGGTGTGACGGAGGTGACATTGCGTGGCAGGCGCAGTACTTTGTGCGCGTTAGACGTGTGGACGCGGAAAGATGCGTGGCAGGCGCAGGGAATCGCGAGGTTGTGAGTTGTGGTAGAGGTGAATGTCGCTGTCCCATTGGGATTGGCGTGTGAGCGGGTGTTGTTTGGAGGGGCTGGAATCGCGAAACTGCTTGGCAGGGCTGCGTGATGTGTGTGCTCCGATGGGTGTTTCCGCTTGACTTTTGGAGGAAGTCTCGTACGAAACGCTCGTTTTGGAGACTTTGACACGTGAGTTTTTGAGGAAGTCTCGTACGAAACGCTCGTTTTGGAGAGTTGACACGTGACTTTTGGAGGAAGTCTCGTACGAAACGCTCGTTTTGGAGACTTGACGTGTGACTTTTGGAGGAGGTCTCGTACGAAACGCTCCGTTTTGGAGACTTGACGCGTGACTTTAGGAGGAAGTCTCGTACGAAACGCTCGTCTTGCAGCCTCGAAGCGTGACTTTTGGAGGAAGTCTCGTACGAAACGCTCGCGTGACTGCTTCTAGTGTGTGGGCAGACCGTGTCGCGACACGAGTGTCCCACAAGAGTGTCCCACAAGAGTGTTCCACAAGAGTGTCCCGCAACCGTGTCCCACAAGAGTGTCTCACAAGAGTGTCCCTTAAGAGTGTCCCACAAGAGTGTCCTATAAGAGTGCCCCACAAGAGTGTCCCACAAGAGTGTCCCACAAGAGTTTCCTACAAGAGTGTCACACAAGAGTGTCCCACAAGAGTGTCCCACAAGAGTGTCCTACAAGAGTGTCCTACAAGAGTGTCCCACAAGAGTGTCCTGTAAGAGTGACCCACAAGAGTGTCCTACAAGAGTGTGTCACAAGACTGTCCCACAAGAATGTCCGACAAGAGTGTCCCATAAGAGTGACCCACAAGAGTGCTTTTGAGAGTGTCCCACAAAGAGTGTCCTACAAGAGTGTCGTGTAAGAGTGACCCACAAGAGTGTCCTACAAGAGTGTCTCGCAAGAGAGTGTCCCATAAGAGTGACGCACAAGAGTGCCCCACAAGAGTGTCCCACAAGAGTGTCCCACAAGAGTGCCCCGTAAGAGTGGCCCACAAGAGTGTCCTACAAGAGTGTCCCACAAGAGTGTCCTACAAGAGTGTCCCACAATAGTGTCTCACAAGAGTGTCCCACAAGAGTGTCCCGCAAGAGTGTCCCAAATGAGTGTCCCACAGGAGTGTCCCACAGGAGTTTAAGAGTGTCCCACAAGAGTGTCCCACAAGAGTGTCCCGCAAGAGTGTCCCAAATGAGTGTCCCACAGGAGTGTCCCACAAGAGTGTCGCGCAACAGTGTCCCGCAAGAGTGTCTCACAAGAGTGTCCCTTAAGAGTGTCCTGCAAGAGTGTCCCGCAACAGTGTCCCACAAGAGTGTCCCACAAGAGTGTCCCACAAGAGTTTCCTACAAGAGTGTCCCACAAGAGTGTCCCACAAGAGTGTGCCACAAGAGTGTCCCACAAGAGTGTCCCACAAGAGTGTCCCACAAGAGTGTCCCACAAGAGTGTCCTGCAAGAGTGTCCCACAAGAGTGTCCCACAAGAGTGTCCCAAATGAGTTAGCCACAGGAGTGTCCCACAAGAGTGTCCCTTAAGAGTGTCCCACAAGAGTGTCCCGCAACAGTGTCCCACAAGAGTGTCCTACAAGAGTGTCCCACAAGAGTTTCCTACTAGAGTGTCCCACAAGAGTGTCCCACAAGAGTGTCCCGTAAGAGTGTCCCACAAGAGTTTCCTACAAGAGTGTCCCACAAGAGTGTCCTACAAGAGTGTCATTTGGACATATGTAGCTTTTCGAACGTGTTTGCATTCGGGTTCGTGGGCTCCATCTTGTTTCTTGTGTCGCTCCTCTTCTGTGTGTCCTCCCACTTTTATCTGCAGCACGAGAAGAAGTGGGCCTCATGACCGCATAAGAAGACCAAACGACAGCAGGCGCCGGCGCCCCCGCCCCCCCGGCTGGCCTACGACAGCGAAGCGGACGCCCAATTCCATGGTGAAGAGCATTCCAAAAATGAATTGGGCAAAGTCCAGTGGCACCGACTGCGACGTCCTCGAAACGTCGCTCGGCTCGAAACGGGGTGCGGTCACTCGGCTTGTTTGGCTCAGAAGCGGTACAGAAAATGAGCGTCGCACGTGTCGTTGCACGTGAAGTGAGCGAGTTTTGGGTGGCACACCGGACCGTTTTTTATCGACTTCACTGAAGAAGTAATCCCATGGAGATCCTGAGTTTAGGGCATGGCAAAACACGTGGAATCGTGTGTATAGTATATCGTTTCATTATCGGGGGAAGTTCGAAGAAGGCTCCGGCCACGAGCCTTTGGTTCGGGCCAACGCTGACTCGTTGGAAACACATTGAAGTGAACAAAACCCACTCAAAATGCATAAACAAGGCCCAGCAATCGGCGCAGGGTCCATCTAGGTGCTAAGGTCTGCTCACTCCTGAGCTGCAAAGCTACTTCAATCCGAGATACGGATCTGAGATCCTCATCTGCATGTCAATGCCCAAAAAAACGGCGTTCAACATCACCACAAGGGCCTTAAAAAGGGTGGGAGGTGGGACGTCATTGGATTTCAATAAGCACAGCATTCAACATGTGGGTTTTTATAGATATCCATAACTCATAACTCCTGGTCCAACCGATTCTACTGTCCACTTCACATGCACGTCACATCACGTCACACGACGTCACATGTCGAGATGATGGTGGGTCTTTCAATCGAATCCCAGCTTCTGGCTTCGGGATTTCTGAATTAAAGGGCACAGGAAAATACAGCCAACGTCTACAATTTGAAGGAATTGTATTGAAATATATTGAATCTGAATCCATCGGTCCATCAATTACATTCTGAAGGTCTAAGATTGCAAGTAACCGCAAGTAAACTGCAAGCACATTCTCTGCAGGAAAATGGTTTGCCAATGTTGTGTGACCCGTCTGGATGGGCCCATCTCAAAAAAAAACATGATAATACAGGAAATAGATGTTGAATTACTTTCACGCGGCTTCATGTGTTTCCTCTGCGTCTTTCCACTGCTTTGAGGGTCTCTCTTCCTTCCTCTCCTCCGCGGAGAAGGTATGACCTGTGTATCACTGGTCCAAGTCACAAAGAACATATCAAACAATGGGTTCTCAACGATATTGAAGAGGATCCGGCAGAACTTGATATGGCACCTGCTGTCCTCCGCCTTGGCCTGCCAAAGAGCCAGCCCGACAAGTGACAAGTGAAACATTATGAAACATTGAGAAACTCCGAGCAAACAAGTCAGCTTTGGATATAGATGCAGAGTTCTGTGCAAACGCATTCAAAATCTATTATATGATACACTGTTATACTTTCGGTACTATAACATTCTTGTCAAAGTTCTTTGATGAGTGCTACCATGTGCCAGCGCGGCGATCTGCGCGGTGAGTCTCGGAGATCACCCACCCTGCTTTTCAGGGCGTTGGGTGCCTAAAACGGTGGTCCACGGGTGCCTTCATGATCCGGAGGCCCCAGCGAAGCCGTGTGTCGGACAGTTCAGGGAAACAACTGGACAGTCAAATCACCACAACAAGGGGATCTGACAAATGATGAGCAAAGGCCTAAAGTCTGAAGGGGAACCAGTCAGACCTAGTTGTCTAAGGTGGTGTGTTTCTTGTGCCTCTCTCTCTCTCTCTGTCTGTGAGGGGCTGGTCGTTTCACCTTAACTGGTGGTCAGTGAGACTGCCCTACTGGGCTACTTGTTCAACTGCACCTAAGATGAAGGCAGTTCAATGCAGCTGGTTTGTGTTTCATGTGTCTGCCTCAGCTATGCAAGTGAGATGCTGGGTCCCATCCTAAAGGATTATATAATATAGTTGAAGTGGCCAACCACTCATGAAGCTTTCCAGCTTCGCGACTTGGTTCCGCGTGACGCTGAGGCTTGCGGCCCAGACCCCGTCCTGCTTGAAAGACATCTGCATGTGCAACTCGTGTGTCGTCAATGCTCGCTGCTTGATAAGCATGTCTTCGGCGGAATGACCTGGTAGTGAATCGATCTGCCAAGCCGCCCACTGGTGCCGTCCACCGGAACGTTATTTTTTGTTTTTGCTCCAGGACAGCCTAAACAGGCTTACTAAACAGGTGTTTTTCTTCAGGAAAACATGACACAAAAAGGTATAAAGGCCATCGATGGCGAGAAGATAACGACCGGTCCAAATGGAGCCAAGAAACTGTTGAACATTCCGGTCACTCTGCTAGGAATCATGTTGGTCACCGTCCAGGATGCACCTGGCGGAGGCTTTTCCGCCCGGGGGACTGCAGGGACGGCCCGGAGCCCTCGTCGAGACGATGTCCGGCCCGACTCAGATCATTCCTGGTCAAAGGAGGACCATCAAACATCTAACAAACTCTCTGAGGTGCATGTGTTCAAAGGCATACCTAGTCTGGTTGCTGTCTGGCTGTGCTTTTGTGAGGGATCTGCAAGTAGGGCGCATTGAAGAAGGACCCCCGAGATTCCCATATTTCAGCTTCCTCTCCTCCATAGGACTGGTGGTGCCTGCTGGTGCTAAGGTGTCTGGCGTATCTTCGACATGGGCTGGCCTTGATGTGCAAGTAAGTCGTGCGCTTGGCCTAACACAAAAGACAGCAGGCACACATGGTTGGAGCATCGTGCAGAAGCGAATTGGATTCATTCAGGAGCAGTTTCTGGGGCAGTTGCAAGAGGTTGAACATATCAAATAAGTACTGCTCACAGTAAAAAGTTGGTTGACAAAGAGGGAAACAACAAACCAGTTGGTCCCTTCTGTTCCATTGCAACTGCCTTCCACTGCACAAGAACTTCAAAACTGGGTCTACAGCACCGACAAACAGGGAATGTTTAACAAGGGTCTTCATTGGGGTGATCAGTTCATCATCGCAGCTTTAAAGATCTCACTAACACCTGCCCTACGTCAAAAATATTCGATTGGGCAGGGAGGGCACTGAAACAGCATGACCACTCATATCATGAGCACCATTCAAAAACAAAGCGAATCATCTGCATCATCGGCTTTCCCTCCACGCACCACCAAGACGCCTAGAAGACCACCGCCTTCGGCGACGTGACCTCCAAGACTTCCGAGGGCACCAAGGAATTCCGAATGCCGCATGAAATAAGCACTGCCTCCTCACCGTTCGCGTTGCTTGGAACTCTCAGGTCACCAGATTGAGAAAATCGGATAAGTAGTGCGCGAGGAAGGACCAGATTGATCGGGCAAGTGATTGCGGGCTGTACAGTCAGAATGAATCTTGACTCTTGGAGAGAAGTTTGGGTGTAATTATACATACACACAGATATATCATATATAATCCATACAAATCTTGTGACGACACATCTGAAACATTTGTTGTTCCTGGAAGCTAACATCAAAATCAAATCAAAACACGCCAACGAACGCTCGCGCCAGCATGTGCCGCCCTTGGCACCGGCACCTCCAAGGTTCTGGGCAGTCAACCCGATGGCCTCCCGAGATGTTCATGTCAAGGCACTCCAAATCACTCATCCAGGAACTTCTTAGCAGTTGAGTCGCGGAAGTTTTAAAGCTTGTTTAGAAAAATCATGAAAAATAGAAAACAGCAGACATATTAAATTGAAGGTTCGGATAGGTGTAACCCCGACCAAACCATCCATTTGAGGAGCTTTTGTTGGCCGTAGCCCACAGTTGGTTGACGAGAGAGATGTCAAACCAAGAACCTTTCAACTGTGGGGATCCATCATTGCCGCAGTCTGACTGTGGGGATCAATGAATCGCTCGGGCACCGTTTGGGTGATTCACCGAAAGTCACAAAGAGAAGGCATAACCACAACCAACAAGAACATCATAAACGATAGAAGCAATGTAAACAAATATAACAGATTTCAAAGAAGGTCCGAGCATGTCCCCACTATGCAATTATATCCCATGCCGCGGTGTCCTTTCGGTCGTGCACGCTTGCTTTACACATCAGCAACCAACGAAGCGTCAAACACATGTTTGGTGCTCTGCGCGCTCCGCGTTGCACAGCGACCAAAACGATGGGTTCTTTCGGCATTCAGCAGCTGGAAGGATATCGCCTTCCCAGTTCTCACAGCCGGGTGCGATGAAACGAGCCCGGCTGTAATGCCTGTCGCGTGATGGCATTCTTCTGATCCAAGAAGCTCCCCACAAAGAAGACCCTGCAGGTGCAAGCGTCAATGCTGACCATGGAGATTCAATACGCATGCTTTAAACCTGCATGTGCGGTAATCATATTTTATAGTATATAATACTCAGATTTTGTCCATGAGCACCCCTCACATCATGAAGTTCACAGGGGAACTTCAAATCCAATGTGCACTTTAACATCCAATATTGAGTATTGCCCTTGACGGGCCATGAGACGAAGGGAATCACGCATGAAACACTCATGAAACACAGGAGGGCATCTGGTGCTTAGATGCTCTCGTCGTGCATCCCAAGATGGGAGACAGGTCGCAATGGTTTGCCACAAATTCTTGCGAGTATTCTTAGAGGTGTTTGCATTCTTCCCTCAACAAAATCCAACAAATTAGGGCCCAAGTGGGCACACTCGCACTCCATGTGGTCCCTGCGCCTGTTCATGCAGCCTGCCATACGAGCATGTGAGAATGCTAAAAGCACGGACTGCTCTGTAACCATCTGCAACAAGGAGCGCGCCACATCCTTCTCCTTGGGTGGTGCGCAAGTGCGCGCAAAAACACCCCCCCAAGCTCGCAAGTGGTTGGGAAACTTTGTGTAGCTCCTTGGCTCCCTTTTTTGAAAGGGAACCTGGGTGTGTATTCTAATGGTAGGGGGACCCCCTTCTTCAATTTGTCTCTTTGGAATTCTCCCTATATACTTGAATGCATACCCACAAAAAGGACATGTTCAAAGCACTCAGTGACTCAGTGGCCATGATCATTTGGGTGCTCACGGTGGAGTCAATGAATCGGGAGAGCGACTAGTGACTAGTGGCAGCCCTTTGAATGGTGGATAAAGCAGGCATTCGACCCCACACGTTTTGGATCTTGCTACCCCGAGTGGACTGAAACAAGTGTTTCAGGCCGAGCAAATGGAGAGCACACAGATTTCATGGATGATCCCTCACCAAGGCAGGCTAGGTGCTAGTGACCAGTGAGCATGTCAAAGGTGCATGTGCTTGAAGGAGTGCATGCATAAAATTGACTGTATGGCTCAAAGAATGAGACATCATGAGACAAAATCACCGAGGTTCGTTGATGTGTGCCTCTTTTCTTTCTCTGCTGCTAGCCTAGCGGCTTCTTGAGACATAAGACATATTCACGTCACACGACAAATCTCTGCAAACGTGGACCTCCGCGTCAGTCGCAGGTCGAACCCCTTGACCGGCAAACGAAAGGCAACGGGAACGACGTGCAGGTCAAGTTACACTGCAGTTCTGGCTGCTGTTTGCTTTACCTTGGCACCGCTGGGCACAAAGCATACAGATTCCGGGTCACTAAGATATCTAACATGAAAGTGGAATGGTAACATAGTAATAGATTAAAACAAAATGTTCCTTTACTAAACAAAAGGAGCCTGGAACCACAACTCGTGAGTCCCCAAATCGTGCGATTCCCTCAACCACGTTCCACCTGATCCCCGCTGATCCCCATCGAAAAAACGTGGAACCACGGCCTGGCCGGAAAAAGAAGCCAATGAGTCTAGCCACCCTGCAGAGTTTTTCAAGAAATGAAGGAACATTCAACGCCAAAGAGGTCTCTCAATTTGCACTCCGAATCTTCGCTTGTTCAAATAGAACGGAGACCTACGAAGGCGAAACCACGGTGAATCCAACCACGAGTCCGACAAAATCAGCGTGGTTGGTTCCAACACAGCGTTCCCAACTGCACCACACCCGACTGACTGCAAGTCACTCAACTTTCCAAAGTTGCAAGCGGTAATGTCCCCATGTAAGCTCGGCATTAAAGAGCCTCGTGGCAAGCTGAGTGCTGAACTAAAACAGGATTCAGAACTTATAACCGTTATGGAGAACGGGCAGTTGTGGCAGTTGTGTGCCGTGACAAATGGACTACTTAAAATAATTTGTATATAGATATATACCTCCAATTCAATTGTAGTTTGATTGTAATTCAGTTCCAATTCAACTCTACATGCATTCTAATTCAATATTATTTCAAATTCAATACTGATCTAAAAACGTTAATTCAAATCCAATTTGTTTATTTAATTCATTCAAACCTAATTTCAGTTTGTTAAAATTGAATTTAGAAACAATGTTCATTCAAATTTAATTCTTGTTTAATTCAAATTTGGTTCTTGTTCAAGTCTAATTTAATTTCAGAGAGCAGGTGTTGCTGGGGGTGTGAGTTTAAGACAAAATGCTATAAACTCATGTGCCGCTAGGAACTAGGTCAAAACACTCCTTTTGAGTAGACAAACAGATTTGTTCAAGTAATATCTGGAATCATCATTTGAATAGTAAGAGCGCTTCATATAAATAAATCTATGTTAAAAGCTTTCCTCTAGATCTCTGGAATGATCACTTCTATAACAAAATACTGTGTTTAAACGCTGCTAATTCAAGAGCTTTCCTCTTGATCTCTGGAAATTGTCTTTTCTACATTAAAAAGCTATATTTGAACGCCTTTTTGTTCAAAAGCTTTCCTTTACATCTCTGAGATTTTTTTAAACTTCCATATTTAAAAAGCCATGTATATAAGCAATTATGTTAAAGCTTATATACCTTGTCGTTTCTGAGAATAATCGTTTCTATATTAAAAAACACCTTCTACATTGTAAGTGTTTATTCCAAAAACTGTTCCTAGAGTTCTTGGGTTGATCACTTATATAATATTCAAGCCTAATATAAAAGTGTGCATGTCTAAAGCTGTCCCCTAGATCTTTGGGAACGATCCTTTGTTTAAAGATTATATATAAGCTGTGTATTTCAACAGAAATGATCTCTGGGAATAAATATGTTCATATTTAAACGGTTTTGTATAAACATATAAACACGTGGTTTCACAAACTTGCCATACTGAAAAGCTTTGTTTGAAAGCTTTAATTTTTATAGCTTTCCTCTGGACCTCTGGGAAAGTAGATTTCCCAGAGATGTGTGTTTTCATTCATTTTATGCAATGTATATTTATCTGCCACTTGAAAAATCACCCCTTTTATGGAACACATAAATACAGGCCCCATGGGACAAAACCAAAAACACCTTGAGAAAGCACAAAGAATATATTTATGAGAGTCTTGACTGAACCCTCCCACACAGCACAAACTTCTGAAAACGTGTTGTGTTTTAGCTTGTTTTCTTCAAGAGTTGTCCACAAAGTGCAGAATCTTCTGCAGAGTGCACTCCTGGCAGTGTAGTTTTCTCGAGAAAGGTTAACAGAGTGCCCTCCTCGCAATGTAGTTGTCTTGACAAATCTTAACAGGGTGCCCTCCTGGCTGTGCAGTTTTCTTGACAAATGTTGACTCAAAAGAACACAAATTTGCGAGAAAACTTAACATTTGTCAAGAAAGCTGCACTACCAGGAGAGCACTCTGTGGAAAGTTTTGGACCATGTGGACAAATACAAAAAACACACACAACAAATCAAACACAAAACAAAAAATACACATGTGTTCAAAGGTTTGTCCTCTAAAAACGGTTCAGTCAAGACTGACTGAAATATGTGTTTTTCAGTTTGTGTTGTTTTTGACATATTTTGTCTTTTTTGACATAGTTTGCCAATTGGTCAGGCTTTCCTGCTGGATGCAATTGTTATACAGCCATTTTTGGCAGTGCAGTTTTCTTGACAAATGAGTTGAAAAAAACCCGTTCTAAAATCATTGTCCTAGGTTGAAATCACAGCAATTCCAAGCGGTGGCCATCATGTACCCAACATGCGCTCATGTATATGGTTGTATGTTGTGTATGCCCTTTTAACAGCCGCGTTCTTACTTACAGAGTCCAATGGTTCCAAATGTGAAGCTGAAAGTAGCCATCCTCTTGCACACAGAAACAAATTGCCAAGACTATACACCCTGGAAAGCACTTGGACAAGTGGTCAAAGTTGCAAAGGGGTCTAGCGCGGATCTAGCGCGGGTCTAGCGCGGATCTAGCGCGCTTCCCTGCCAGTGCATGAGGCCACCAAACGTCTGTGATCAAGAACTCGCTTTCTCGTCTCTCAAACAGTTACTCCCTTTCAAACAGTTGCTGCCTTTTTCAGCGCGCGCTGCCTTTCAAACAGTTGCTGCTCTTGTGCCTGTGCGGGTGTGTGTGTATGTGCACCAATGAGTGACCGTTGCAATCAGCTCTTGTTTGTTAATCTTTTCTAAGTTACCTAAGTACTTGATCCTAGCACCAAACCTAGCGCGAACCTAGCGCAACCCTGCGTTTTGCTAGCGCGACGAGGTAACATACCCACTTTAAACACCAGAATACCAAGCGGTGGCCAAGCGATTTCTGAACCTCTGGGAACATTCCTTACTTAATACATATTCCGTTTTTTTTTTTCCGACTCAAATGTTGACTCAAAAAAACACAACACTGCACTGCCAGGAGTGCCCGTTATGTATACATATAATATATATATATATAGTAGCCTCTTGCGATACATTTCGAGCACCAAAACCACCCACCTCCTTTTGATGCACATCTTGCACAACATCTGCTCTAACTCCAACATGTTCGTCGTTTCTTCTAATTATCCGTCAGTCCAGTCCTAAAGCCCAAAAGCACTCTACGCAAAGTTGATTGGAGATATCTTGAAATGAGCCAGGCCTAAGGGACCTCGCTAGATTATCTCGACAAGTGTGCCACTTCTATCACAGCCTGCCGGTCCCGAATCCATTGCAAGACTTCCTCAGCCCTCCCCCTCGCTACCCCAAGGGTGCCAAGGGCCTTCGGTGCCATCGATGTCACTCACCAGTGTGTCCTCGGTGCTATTCGGTGCATGAGAGAACCCCGAAAGGTGGATCAATGGTGCAACAATGTGGAACCAAACATTGGTGCAACATCGGTGCATGTCACAAACGATCGCAAACAAAAAAAACACCGAAGAGGAACACACACACACACACACCACACTTGCGCAAAGCGTTGCGCAAGTTGTATGCAAAGGATTCCGATCCTCTTCAGCCAGTGTCAAAGGCTAAAGGAGTGGTATTTGAAGGGCTTTCTCTAATACATGACCAAAAGAACAAAAGCACATAATGATCAATCATCAACCAATTGCCCGGGATGCCTCCGCAATCCAAAACCATTGCTGTATTTTAGGGTCTCAAAGAGTCCATTCAAGTGGCCACTTCTCCATTTTGCTCCACTTCATGTCACTTCCGCAAGCTCTGCGCTTGTCCCGTAAACACCGTGCACAAAAGAGGCTCCAGATTGGAGGCATTCCCTGCAGCCGCCATCTCCAAGGCCTCCTCCAACGTGTTTGCGGAGGTCAAGCGCCGCGCCAGGGCTAGGAAGGTGCCTCCGGAACCAAATGATGCAAAACGACTTCAAGGCTTCGAAGAAGGCAGAAAAAGCGCAATTCTTACTGGTTTACAACCAAGATTGTGAAACATGTGGAAACATTGCATCACCAGCTGGTCATCATACCAATCTTGCGACAGCTAGATTGGCAGAAAAAGGCAGTGCAACCATGGGTCAACCATGAAAGCAAATTTAAATATATGCTCTCATATTCAAACTCTGGCCTCCACCACAGCCGGTGCCACCCATTCGTGCGTAGTCGCCCGGGTTGAAAGAATTCACCCGCAAGATCGACACGCCGCTGCCTGCCAAGAGCATGGCTTGAAACATCTTGAAACCCGGTGCTGGTGAGGTTTCCATCCACTATGTGTATATATATATATACTTGTTGATCATGTCCTTGACTGAAGGATTAGAAAACGTCGAGTGTCAGGCCAGGTCAAGGCCAGCAGGGTGCTTGCTGTCATTTGTTTCTCCTGTTCCAGTCTGCATCTTTTTGCCAACTGAGCTGCCCATGACCACCAAGATCAGGGGAAACAATGGTTCCGGCCAGGATCTGGATATCACACCCCCGTCCTGGAGCACAAGCACGGTGAGCCCAGTCTGAAAATTTGGGTTTGGCAGAGCCCCAGCAAAACTAGAGTGACAAAACAGTGGTGGCAATTGGGAAATGAATGTATGTGTATAGTCCGGGGGCATTTTCCCTGCTCATCGTCACTATATGTCACAGTAGAAGTCTATAATTTTGTTTCATTCCACTGCAGGTGCCGGCCAACATCCTCACCGGACGTCATTTGGTGAAAAATGTTGAGTTCACGAACATAACTCTCTATATAGGGGGTTCAGCCTCCAAACCTTGCCCCTCTCGCCCTTCTTCTTCCATGACTTTGTCTCCTCCCCAATGGTGAAGATCTCTTGATCCATCAAGCTGCCCTCTCTGCTGTGCGAGCCTCCCGCGCGATGAAAGTGGCAAAATGGAGGAGAACACTGCAGTTAGCTCTGAGCCGAAGCTAAAACGGAGGCGAACAATGAGCGAGCAGCGAGAGGGTCCTGCCTTGCGCAAGCAAGAAGAAGCCATCCAGGAGAGGACGCATCTCATGAAGAGGCTCTAAATCAACCTTGGTTGATTGTTCTCAACAATTCTTCAGCAGGCGAAATATGGCGCAATTACATACCGGCACTCCAAAAAATAACAGTGATGTCAGGACAATACAAGTAGGAAACTCAGGGGATCTAAAAGGATCCAAAAGACGTCCTTTCAATTCAGTTTATGCAAAGGCGGTTCTTGCATGTTCTTGCCACGTTTTAGGCACGAAGTCCGCTTGATGGAGGCACCAGTGGTGGTGCACTAGCTTGTGAACCAGCACCGGCAACCAATTAAGTGGCCATTATTCAGCGGCTTGTCTAAAGGATATTTGTCTTCAACCACGCGGACCTTATCAAACAGTGGTTTGGGTTCCAAGTTTTACTTTAAATCACACGGACGTTCATCTTTTGCGATCATGTATGTGTTCTCCTATAGAGGTTCGGCAAGTCCATCAACGGTCTCTTGTTCCATCAGCAACTGCTGTTTGGGCATGAACACTGGCTCTTGTGCCATGAGCAACAAATAGTCCAACATGCAGATCTTGGCTCTTTTGAAGCCGTGGGCCCTTACACAGTAAGGGAACCCTCCAGCTGCAGCATGATATTGACCTGAACAAATGTATAGTGGCATGTGCAAGAACTGTAGTCTCTAGCATGGTATCAATACAAAGCCGATACAAACATGTGCATTCTACGTGTGGCAACAAGACAGAAATGCAGGCCTCCTAAAACTACAAATGGACATGTGTTTTACAGTGATTTTTCCTCCCCGCTATGAATTCAAACAGGTACGACCTGGTATGCCTTAACGGTGCCAGAGCCACCTGCAAGACCTCACAGAAGTGGGGCGCGAAGTTGCCGGCTGCTTTGGAGGTGGCCATCCGGCCTCGGCGAGAGACCGAAAAAAAGGCCGGTGTGTTGGACGGAAGGCATCTCCCAGCATGAATACAAATCAATATATAATATATATTCAATATCTAATTAAACTCTAAGAGAATCGACTGCGTCAGGGTCCCAAGGTCTTACTCTCCAAGCCAACTTTGGAGCACATGTTGGGCAACTTGCTCCGCTGTCCAAATCACACTGCCTCCCTTGGCGGGCGCGTCGCACACTGACACTGCCAGGGCGCAATATGCTGTGCCCGAACCAGCTAACTTCTCATCAGACTGCCTGCACTGTTGCAGGCCAGCAGGATTCCCACAAAACAGAATGATGCACCCAAAGAAAGTAGACAGCAACGTCAGGAAATTCAGAAACTAACACATCGACGACGACAGCAACTACAACACCAGCTAACTACACCAACAGCACGAACAAAGTCAGTTCAACATGTCTCTGCCTCGTCCGTGCGGATCTGAACCCGACCACACCGCCCAGTCCGTCACGCCGCACCTGCTGGGTGAGACTGGTGCGGCTGGAGCTCTGAGCTGCGCCAGGCCCAAGCAGCCCTCGCGGCTCGTGCGCTCCAGCTGGGCGGCGGCTGCCTGTGGGGAGCGAAGGTGCAGTGCGGCAGGGCGAGGAGCCAAGCGCTTTCCGACGTGAGGTCGTCAACTAGTGGATGTCCGCTTGCGAAGATGTGGTGTGGCTTGTTACTGTGATGAACATGAGGGAATGCAAGTTGAAGGGTTGGGACATCTACAGTAGTGAATCCCATGCCGGCCTGTGCAACCAAAAATGGAATTGATTCATCCTGATTCTCAAGAGCATTGAAGGGTGAAAACGGCAATGAGTTATATAACCTCAATAGCCATTGAGCAATTCCAGTTGAACCGCAACCACTATAAATTCTCTACCGCAACTATCTGAACAAATCAATCATACCGGCCAAAAGGCTTGGACGAACGACATGGAAGGCAACCTAATCAACCCAAACTTCCACTGCCAACATGCTACGCTGCTACGCATTAACAATGTTAACATGAGCCTCAAAGTCCGCAGTGGAACCAGAAAGGAACGTGAGCAAAAAGCTCTCATCTAAGATGCTCAATCTCCTTAGCTGGCCAACCATCTGCACTTCCAGCGGGTCACCCCAAAGGAGCCAAAGAAGCCAAAAAGAAGCTGAAGCTAGAGGTTTGGTGGTCACAGACCGGACAAAAGTGTCAAGAACCATCACTGTTTGACCGTCTTTTCACCAGCGCATCAAATCAGCGATGTGGGAGATTTCGGAGCAAACCTAGTGATCAGCCTCAAACTGGGCATAGACGGCATATCCCATCGCAACTAAGGAAAGCATGGTCCCAGTTTCTGACAGAACGTGGGCGAAACGAGAGAACATGGGCGTTGTATGGCGTTGTGGTCTTTTGCATGCTACACATATCCGTATCATCGTTAAGCCACCTCTTTCCAGGACCAAGTCAATATCTCCAGCCCACCCTACAAGCACCCACTGAAACAGGTGTGAAATTCTGAGAGATGTCCTGCAGAACTCGAACGCATGAAATGCAAAGCTTTTGCACAGCAGGGCCTTAAACAGTCGGAACAAACCTCGTGTTTGGCCCGAACCAAGCTGGCCACAAGGCTGGCCCTGTTTGCTCGTGAAGGTCCCAACCAAGTATCATCTGCAAGTGTCTGTGGCAACCTGAGCCGAAAAGGGTAGCTCAAATTCTGATTTTGGCTCAGCGGATTTCGGTGAGCTCAGTTTCATGGGTCGGAGCTGCCGTGCTTCATGGGAAAGATGGGCCAAGGAGCCTCACCATGACACCTGCCGCAATCTGCAGTCATAAGTCAGTGTTCGGAAGTATTGCTGTGCAAACCATACTGTACATCCTTTTTTGGTCGATTCTTTCAAATTGCAAGTCGCGGTCAACGTTGTTAAACTACGAACTATTTCAGTGATAGGGAAGAATCAGAGTGCACAGTCGCCAGGAACTGCACCGGGAGTCTCCTCCTGACATTGCCACCAAGAAACGTCCGGAGCTTCCAAATTTCTCTGGAAACATGTCCTCTTCGCTTTGACCTTCCTGGTAGGCAATAACCTCGAGAAGCGCAGGGGCCCCCGCAACTGCCTGGGACCCATGTGGTTGGAGTCTTCAATTTGGAGAATGGTCTAAAAGAATGCTGAATGTGTAGAATCACTTCAACAGAACATATTTCAACATAGAATCTTGAAGAATCTTGCTGCTCCCTTTTTGCCTGAGCAAAAACAAGCACGCCTTCAGGACGTATGATACCGGCCACCCATGGGCACCCATGAGGCAAAAACCAAAAGAACTGCCCTGAGAACTCCTTGGGCACTATGATGGGCAGCACGGAAAGTAGCTCTAGTCCTGAGTCCTGAATGTTCGGACAGGGCCTCCACCCAGGATCCCAAACGATAGCGGCCTTGTAGGCACATATATAAATATGTTTGGACTCTTACTCTGTGCAGCTACCTGGAAGTCTCGAGCCCGCCGTTCCAGGCTTGGTGGATCTTGGGCTCCCCACCATCTTTGCAAAGGACTCGCCGATGTCGCAGCCCATGTGCCCCGGCGAATCTCCTTAGAACATGCGACTTGTGGAATTCGGAGCGCAAACGTCTTAGACATCAATCATGCACAAGTCTATCAGTTGGAACTTGCCATTGCAAACATTTGCAAACATTATCCTTGCAAGATCGTCAACGGTATGTGCAGATTCAGTTGATCAATTCCTCGATTTCAACTGAGCTTCGGATATTCTGCAACACCGATCTCATGGAGGACACCGGAGTTGTCTGCTTGGAGCCAAGGCCCACCTCGACCTCATCACCTGGGCGTTGGAGATGAAGTTGACTGAAGGTTCTGAAGGGAAGTATATAACATGACGTAAACTGAAGTAAGCCAATTTGGCAACATGATGCATGAAGCAACGCGATGGACGACCATTGTGTTAAGCACTATCTGACGGAATGCATCTTGGTCCGGAATCCAGCAATGGCGGAAGTCGCACGACCATGTCGTAGCGTGTGGTCGCCCTGAAGTGCGTCTGCTCGGTGAAACGTTTCAGCAACATGTTTGAGGAGAATTAAACTTAATTAAATTCTAATTCTAACTAGTAGCTTCTTGTTACTACTAGTAAGGCACTTGTTACTAGATGCGATGCACTTGTTCCTAGTAGCTTATTGTTCTAATTTACAAGTCCAAAGCCCCGGGTAAAACCATGTAAAACCTTGCCTTTTACCTCCTGGAGTAGTCTTTTATGAACAACTCCAGTAAAATGAGGTCATTGACCTGTGGGATACTGTAGGGTATGTAAAATCGGTCCCGTAACTATTAACATTAATTATCAGTATTAGTGATTGACCTTTCACACCTTGGAGGTACACTAACTTGGTTAAAAACATGGCTGTCTGCTAGGTACTGTGCACATCCAGCCCTGTTGGCAGCAACCGGTATCCCTGAGCCTCTGAAGGACCTCGTGGCGAATGGAACACTAAACGGCTGGGCATGCGGACGTTCGTCGCTCAGGGCATGAAGAAAGCCTTGCAGTCGAAAGAGACAATGGATCCAACCCCACACCCGGGCTAATAGGAAACAACATGAGCAAAGTAGCCAACTGACATCTATGTCCGGCATAATCAGGTCTGTTCAATCTGCTTTGGTAGTGCCGTGCGTGAACTTTTCGGCATGACAAGGTCAAGGCCTTTGCAATTAGGAGCTTCATGCAACTTACTTTGGGACCCTGCGGTCACGTGACCGCAAAAACGGAAGAAGGTGAGGTCACCAGGGGGGGCTGCCCTCTTGAGCATCTCCGAGATTGGCCGAATTCATGGACCAAATGATGAATCTAGAATCTTGAGCGCTGGTTTTGCATGTCCAGTCCAGGGCAATTGTTTCCTGACGTGTTGCAACACATGTTTCCTCGAAGGTAAGACTGCAAAGAAGAGTTCAGGAACTGCAGCAGAATGTGCAACCATCTTCACTACTATTCCACGAGTCACCACTGCTACACATGCAGTCAGCGGGGCACAAATCTCACTCCATGCTTAAGGAACCATGGAGACTCCTCTATCCACGTCAAAACCACCAGGAGACTCTTCTATCCTTGTCCACCTGCGACACCCACACGGCATCGCCAAGAAACTACCGGCACGTTGTCCAATGTCATAGCCTCAGCTTTCGCAGTTGAGGCGGCCCATTTCCGAATTTAAAGGCTATCCCAAACACTCCATGCATGGCATATATACATTACATGAAGTGTCGGGGTATTAGTGAAATACCTGGATAATTCAAGCGTATTTTAACTAACGAGCCGATAGTCCATACGTCCACAGGTCGTGTAGGCCAGTCTGAGTCTATTGGTGGCCTGGAACGGATCGTCCTGTTTGAAGCAGGACATAAACATGATTGCCGAGTTCAAAATTGACACATCTAAGTTGACATTCACCGGCAAAGGATTGCCAACTCAAGAATTTCTGAAGCAGTTGTCCTGATATTGACTCATTATACATGTTCAGTCGAGTCTAACATGTTCCCATAGCGTGGATTGATCTTTTTCTCGTCCCCGCCCCACCCAAATGAGTGCATGGACCCACCACCCACGATCATTGCGTATCAATACCATCAATTGTACTCTCTGAACATACCTCGGACGCTGTGTATGGTACAACCCACTCAGTCAAGCAATTCCCTTGGCCAAGGACAGCTCACCTTTTTGATCCTTTTTGCATTCACAAGAGTTGATCCTTGCATTGACTTTGACGAAAAAACCTCTCCCCCGTCCCTATGGCTGGTCCAGCCCAGCCCCCGCGCAGTCCCTATGGCTGGTCCAGCCACCGCGCAGCAGCGGCAGCAAGACTTCCTTCCGCTCCCCACATCGCACGGGCAAGCCGCGCTCCAGCGCCAGAGCCTTGGCCCGGACCGCAAAAGGGGAAGCAGCGCTGGCAGTGTCACAGTTGATTTTACCATGTACACACGTCAAAGGTGAATTTATTGCATGTTGTTGCATCTAACATTCAGGGTTGTGTTAAAACATCTTTCCCAATAGACCAGTTTTGTCGTTATCACAGTTTTTTGACTAACATGAATGTGTAGTATACAGTGCACTGCATACATGTGGCAATCATTGCAGGAATCGCCAAAGGGATCCGTAAAGCAAAGTCGTCAACCACTGGTGTTATGCACAGAGCAGGCTAGCTAAGCTCGGGCATCATCCATTCTGTTCAGTGGCAGTGACCCATGGGCTCACAACATGGCATGTTTCAGTGGGGCGGGAATTGTGTGAGAGTAATTAAGGAACAACACACACCATCACACACCCATCTTCCTGTAGCTTTAATGGGCAATTTCGAGGCTTGTATCATGTTAGCTAGCCCTCCTCCCGTGGAGTCGCATCCAATCGGCCGCGGCCTGTAATATCTGATCTATCCTGAATCTATCCCAATCTCCACGCCTGCAAATCTGCGGTGTCCAAGGATGCATACTCATCGTCGGCCTGTGGATTCGGTTCGCTCTGTGGAGTCGTGTTCGGGCGACTCCGACTGGACGGTATTCAACTGGAACGTTCAAACGCCGGCACTGACCCGGGGTCTTCGTTCCTGAAGCTTTTTGTATTGTTTGTTGAAGTTCATCCGGATCGGGCGGATGCCGAACATGCGGGCCTATATGCTCCGAAAACCGGACACGGACACGTCGAATCTCAAATGAATGAAGGGCAAAGTCGCAAAAGGAAGCAAGCACCTTTTGAAAATTCCCAACACACATATATACACGCAAAAAAGAAAGTGTCGTTTCTTCTCAATCATTCGATCTTCAAGGTTCATGAGGTGGATCTTCTGCCCAAGTCTTGGCAACATTGAACACGAGCAATCATTTGAGGCCATTGAGGTATTATACAGACTGATTTAGAACATGGATGAACATGGAACTTTCTGGATTCTGTCGATTTAAGATGATTTAAGCAGGGTGGACATGCCCTCCCGCCGGTTGAGCTCCGCTTGGACAGCACTTTCAGGATCCTCAAGGTGCCTCCTCCCTGTCTTCCTTGCGCGATTGGCATGTGAAGAGCGACATCAGCTCGGTCGCGGCACTCCCACGCGTACTTGGCGGATGCGCGGCCAGCGCATCTTCGCAGCCACATCGCGCATGCCAAGCCGTCGAGCTGATGAGAAGCCAGGGAAGGCAAATTGGAACACCATCAAATGGAATCCATTGGACGTACTGATGTCAAATGATGTGCGAACGAAACACAGGGGGGAACGACCTCGGACCATCACGGAGATGGACAGTTGTGTCTCCAAGCATGGTTCCTGCTTGCGCAACGCTCATGAAGTGCTCAACTGATGGGCCAGGAAGGGCCAAATAGCTGAGTGGATTGTCCAAGTCAGGCTGGGTCTTCCAGTTCTACTGATCCAAACTCAGGATCTCCCGAGCTTTGCCTGCGCATGTTTGATCGGGATGCCACGAGGTCGGGCGATCGTGGAGGCCGACTGGATGAGCTCGACCGAATCCCGAGCCGTTTCCCTGAAAAATGCAGGTTAACCTTCGTCCATATATTCTTGTTTAGTCGGGAAACCAGTCCCCCAAAAGGCTTGCATACATGATGTCTGTCATTTCGGTTAACCCAGGCGACCAGTACTAGAAGAAGTGAAGTAAATGATGGTGCCACTTCCAACTTCCAACCTTTCTGTTGGCCTCCATGCTATGAACCGCCGAGTCCATGCTACGACACTGCTCACCAGCTGGAAAGCTCTCTCATACTCAATCCCCCGGCCCACGGCAAGTTCGAATTCCATGGTGCTCGTGCTCCCTTGCACTTGGTCTAGTTTCCATTATATATTGCTTGTGTGACTTGCATAAACACGCTCACACCCACCTCTCGCACCTGTTTCTTGCCGACTCTGCTGTTAAAACACCCGGCATTGTGGCCGGTTCGGCTGATAGAAGGGTGAAAAATGTGAAAGGTGACTTCTAGTGCCTTGTTCGCAGCTGTTTGGCAACTAGCAGTGAGCAAACTGACTAAGCTGTCAATAAGCTTATTATATAGTTTCAACAGTCCACTGACTACACCTTGTCCAAATGATATGAATGCAACCGCCACGTGATCCTCATCCTCGTACCCCAACAATCACATTGCACCAGTCAAGAGATCAATAGCACGTGGTTTGATGACTTGTGATAGTGTCAGCTAGATCAAAGCACCAAAGAAAGGTGAAACAAATGAGTGCTTCTTAAAATGGAGGACCCACAAGGAATGAACCACTTCGGTTCTTCATCAAAAAGGATTCCGTTGTGGAAACATCCTTCAGTGGCAGTCGAAAGTGCCTTTACGCTGCCAGGGCCCAGCTGGCACAGAGAGGCACCGTCTCTTTTGCCAGAAGGAAGCACGGCGACGGTTTTACGGACGGGAGTCTATGCCCCGTCCAAGCCAAGTCTACACTACCCCTCCCGATGCTGTGGCTGTGGCCAAAGATTGCCAAAGGAATTAATTGGTGTGCATCATGTTGTGCTGGCCTGGTTTCTTGCTGAAATGTGTGGTTGCATTGCGCTACGGATTCCCAAACAGTAAGTTAGGACATGCTGGTATCACTGATTGGTTCACCTGTTCACCTATAGTCAATGATAGTTCAAAATTAATATAGATTCTTTATTGGGACATTTGGGTGCCTCCTCTACAAAAAGTGAGCGTTGCTGAAGGAGTTGGGAGCGCCACAGAATAGGCAAAAAATCGTCAACGAGTGCGGATGCTGCATGGACAGGATTAACTAAGCTATGAGCGAGGCAGTTGGCAGTTGCTTGTGGTCTTTCCTGCAAGGCCATGGCAGTGGAGGTGGCGCGTGGCCGAAAATCGATCTTGCCCTGCAGGGCCTTTGGCCGCTCGGGCATGTCTTTCGCCGATGGGAGATTCCAAAGCAAGTCCAAGCGGCAGCCGCTATCCCACAATCAAGTTCTGCTGAGGATGCTCGGGGCTTACGGCCATGTCATGTCATGTGGTCAGTCGGGTGCCCAATGGATGAGCGCAGTGCGTTCATCCCAAACATGATCTCAAAAACAACTCTTCATGATGGAAGCACTGTTGTACGTAATCGAACCCTATTGACGTAAATTCTTCAGCAGGAGGCCCCCACCAAAAGCATTGCTTGCGAAAATATATTGCCCTGTTGATGACCAGCACTTGTCAGCATTCTGTAGCCCAATGACCCTGTGTTGATGGATCTGCAGCTCTAGTTGACATGCGCGCTTGGTGAGTTTGTGCCAACCAGGAGTCTTTTCGATGTTCTGTTGTGCTCTCTTTACACAACACGCAGGTCCAGGTGTGTTCTACACCTACCAAATCCAAGGGGCTGCTCCACCACCCAGACTTGCCAGGGGCCAGACTTCGACTGATGATGTCATCGGTCATGGGAGCCATCGAGTCATTGGGAGCCCAGGCTCAAATGATCGCAGAGGATAACTTGCACGACTGCGAAGCAGCGGACATGAACTGTGTCATGTCCTAGCGAACAGCACGAGATGAGCACGAGATGAGCACAGATTGGAATGGTCGTTTGGGTTGGGATGACAATGGATCGGATCAAACGGTCTACACCCAAGAAGTGTCCGTTCGGGATTATCTCCAAGGCTCATGGGCCAATGGGACTAATGGAAAAGGGATTCGCTCTGTCAATCGAATGTGCACCAACTCCTGCCTGCTTAATTGCACATCAACAGCCAGTCCTCTCGAAGTTTCCCAAGCTCATCTTCCATGTAGCTTTGGAATCCTAAGGCTTTGAATCCAACCCATGAGGAGCCTGCGACTTGGACACGTCTCACAAGTTTACACTGGAGTTGAGGCTGCCAACTGCAACCCATGGTCTTGCTAGAACTACTTGATACTGCTTGTGGGTTGGTGGGGTACATGTATGAACATGTAGTAACTTGCAATGTTCCCGTCTACCAAGTCTTGGTCTATGGAAATGGGATGTAGTAGTTTTTCAAGCGGCAAACTACTGTTGTTAAATCAGTATCAGTACCCACATTCATTGGATCAACAATAATGATGAAAGGTATTGCACTCTAATTATCCTTTTCCAGTGATTCCCTGAGAACATGCCATGTCGGCCGTCCACAAGGCATCAAGACTGAGTACGTAGTACACGTTCTTTGCCACAATCGCCCAGGGGGCAAATTTGGTGTCCAATGGCTGCATCAGAACAACGACCCTGGTACTGTAGAGAAGGTCTAGGAACCTATAAAGAAATCTCCACCAATAAAGAGTGACGATGATCTGATTTCTTCGGAGCAACTCCACGACAGAAAAGGTTGACTTGCACAGGATCATCACCAAGCATAATTAATCAACCCTTGCATGACTTGCAACCCCTAGCTTTTGGATCCCCATAATTAACCATGCAGACTGCTGCGCAAGTGTCTCCCCTGGTTCTTCAAGATCCAAGACTGGTCCTCCGAAGAGAGCGGAGGACAGTCTTAACGCAGGCACCCGGGAGACCCGTCTCGTGGCTTAGACCCCCATCTTTGCGGGTGATGAAGACGGTGGGCTGATGCCTACCTCACCTAGACGGTTGGGCGAAAGGAAACGCCACCTCTGTTCTCTGGTCTAAAGAAATCAAAGCCTCAACCCATGCATCTGAGGCATCTGAGGTTGCGCCCTCTGCCGACGGTTTGACATGGTCGGCGGAGGACTTGACTGTTTGTTATGATTGATATATGATTGATCCTTGTTGATGCGATGTCCTCGAAAGCTAATACAGCTACTGCCACTCAATCTTGGTGTTCCCTTCGAATTTTCCTCATTGCCCCGAGTCGGCTGTCAGTCCTGGATGATCTTTCCCACGTCCATCGCACGAGCTTGGCCGCTGAAACGAAGACACCCCATAAAAAACTCTTCAATCTCCACTGAACCACCTAGTCGCGCCACTGCCCCCATGGGTGCAGGTGTGCAGTCTGAGCAGCTTGAAAATAAGCGTATTGAACCCAAGGCGAACTAAGGCTGGTGTATAATTAAATGGAAGCTATGAGTAACATGAAGGAACTAATTATCTTCGAGGAGTTTGGCAACCAGCAGAGCCTAGAAAAGCAGATTGCCATGAAGTCATGAAGAATGACTCTTGGCACTTCAGCTGTACATCTTTCCGTCTTCCTAATTACTTGCACTAAGCCACTAAGCACCGTTTTGTCGCTTCCGCCACACCCCACACACAATAAAAAAGAACTCCTGCCTCCATCCGTATCCAAGAGCTTGAAGAAGCTCCAGGGGTCCCAAACATCTAAGCCCAAGGTTTCGAAATAGTCGCGCACCGCCGGCGCCCGAATCTTCTCCTCGAAGACCCCGAAGGTGATCGCACCGGTGGACCTTCGATCGAACGAAAACCGCAGCGGATCAGGTCAAAACGGCGGGTCGACGTCGGTTCGAAGCAGCAATCCATGGAAGCTAGGCAATCACTTAAAGAATGGGCAGTATGATGCAACGGAGTTGGGAGACGTTTGGATATGATTTTGGACGTATGTATGGAGCGAAGTCCCTGTAAAACCAGTGAGTTGATGAAACATGTCTATTTTGCAAGTCTGCAGTGTCACGGCTTGATGTCATTTCCAACAAAAATAATATCGTCATCATCGTGGTTGATATGATGTTAATTCTGCAGTCTGCAGTATTCACTATTCAGTTTCAAGATTTCTTGCATCTGGTGCCACGAGTTGTGTTTGCTGGAGTTGGTAAAAGTGTTATCTCCACTGGTCTCAATCTCAATGTGTAATGATAGATCATTGTTGCGGTAGCAAATTTTGTGGGCACATGGCTTGAGGCGCTTGGGAGGGAAGCCAAGTTGCTCATCACCAAGTTTACTGAAAAGCTCTCGAAGCTTTTGCAAGTGCGACTCCTGCAAAGCTGATACAACTGGGGGGCGGTCTCGAGTAGGCAGGGAAAACAACAACTTGTTTCCGTCGTTACACGTCGAGTTCTTTCCGAAGAGTCGAGCCTGACTGCCACTACTGCATTTTAAGAACTTTTTCAAGAGCAGCGCTGCTAATAAACCATCTGTCATGTTGAGCCCCGGATGACGTGCAGTCGGATCACCCAAACCTATGGATCTGAATCAGCCAAAACGTCCGCAGCCCAGGGGCTTTTACGTTTCCCAACTGGGTGAATGACCAGCATTCAAAACCACACGACTGCAGCCACTTTGTGGAAGTTGTTCATCCGAAGCCCGCTCATGTCATATCTGTGCGTGTATCATATCTGTGCAAGGGGCGACTTCACCTCTTCTGGCAGAAAGCTACGCTCACACTACTTCGCAAAAACAAAAGTTCAAAGTGCTTTCTGCAAAGCCATGTCTGAAGCATTGCAAACACTGCTGCCTTTATGTGACACTTGATGGTAGCATCCCGCGGGGATTTGCGGAGATCAAGCCATACTAATTTGAAAGAACATGTAGTCCCCAATCTGTATAGTCAATTCTGTGCCTTGTTGTCCAACATGTTCTGGACAACCGTAGCATGGTCGTTCGAGGCGGACTCGATGGCACTTTGACCTGGGAACGGGCTCGTTGAGCAGGTCTGACATTCCGGGAGTGGCTATTGCCATTTCCCAACTGCATCCATGAAGTGCTTTGTGCTACTGGGAGCGTGCTTGGAAACTGTGTCCCTAAGTGCTTGCCGTGTATCGGTGTCTTTTTCTGCGAACGTGCGGCCTACAGTATGTTATATGGACACATATGGACACGCTTTGCAGGCGCTATGGATAGTGGAGAATTCTCAAGAACGCTGCGGGGGATTGCTAATTGGGGTATGCACCAAGCAGTTTACTGCATAATATTTGGAAAACATTTGCAGCACATACACACTGTAAGCTACATCTGCACCAAAGAACCAGGATGACATGCGCATACATGCGCCTACCAATCCAGGAAAAACAACATAGTGCGTATATGTTGCATGATAAAGTGATAGTAAGGCATGGAATGTAACACATGCACACCCCGGTTGCACCCTCCATACCGGTTGCACGTGCTCGGTACCACAGAGGCTCCGCACAAAACACAGCCGTCACCACCTGGGCTTTCGGTACCACCGAGGTTCTGGGTGCAGCCATGGGCATCCAGGTGGAAAGAACAGCGATCCCGATCCCACAAAGTCTTTCCTAATGGACACAAACCCATAACTCCCATCACACTACATCATACTCATGACATCGTAAAAAATCTGATTGCCAGTGGTGAAATGAACTCATAGAGGTAGTCCGGCCTACAGCTGAATCAAACTGGAAAATGTAAGGAGGTAAATGAAACACAATTAAAAACCTAATATTGAACTCTTGAATCTTCCCCACATAGCCAATATAACATGGGGCTCAAACCAATGTCGGTCAGGATGTCCTCCACCCAGCTTGACTTGGGCTATCCAATGCAGGACAGGCGCGTTGAGGACCGCGAAGTATGTGAACGCCTCGACAAAATTGAAACATGTTGACACTTATTTGTAGCAATACTGTTTCCATTGTGTTGCTGTATGTTGGACTTGTAAGGAGGTAACTTTTAAGATTTAAAACTCACATGCATCGTCCCTGTACCATACAGCTGGCAACAATATGCAACAATTGGGCCTTGAGTTGTCTGCAGTGTATCAAGTAGACCCACTGAGGTTGCGCGTTCCAAGACCCAGGACGCCTTTCCACCAGCAAAGCACAAAGAAACTAGACCAGTTCCATGCGGGATCTGTCCGGCACTTCTGTAAGCTGAGCCAGCCGCTGCCGCGAGCTTCGTGGGTCAAACAGTCAAGCGTCAAAAAGAACTGAGGGTATCTGAGGGTCAAATTGGTTGAGGTATCTATCTAGGACTCATCTATGTGTGGCTAAAGCAGGTTCAAACTTCCATCGATATACTACGGTACGGATTGGAAACTGTACCCTATTTTGCAGGCTCTCATGTCATAAACGCAGTGCTTTGTCCTGCGCTCTGCATGAAAAAAGAAAGGTTGACACCTCAAGCTGCCTGTTTTTGTGTAAGCGGCGGCGCGCCCTTCCGGCATGGAGCTGCTACAACGCACCAAAGTGTGAACAACGAAAGACGAGTTTCTAACACCTGCTCCCAGTTTACCCAGCCACGATCTGAGCCCAAAACTTTTTCGTGAACAAAAAAAAAGGTCAGAACAATCACGAGTTAAGCCGTGCACTGGTGTAAAGAAAAGGGGTTGACTCACCACAAAGGCAGAAAACACAAAAAAATGGAGGACAAGGAACACCCGACAACCGAAACAACAAAACTAAAGCACACAGCGTGGCTACTTCTTAAGCCTTCATGCTCATGAGACGTATGTGAAACAAGAACGAAGTTACAACACCCCACCATGTTTTCCGTATTGAGGCCCCCGTTTACGCTATTGCTTCAACTTGGTTATCTTGCGATATGCTCTTTCGCAATGCATTGACATGCCATAACATTTGGCTCAAGGTATGTGCGTGTGAAAACAGCCGCTCGATCGCCTTCGCTCACTCGCTCTTGTGAAACTTGTTGGACTGTGAGTTGAATCCAGGCATACTGTGTATTACACGCTCCACTGCGGGGAATTTGACCCTCACCCCACCCCTCCAACACCATGTGATGACATGACCAAGCGTCGTGGAGTCCAAAAATGTCAGAAAAGCGGGTCCGGTTTTCAGTCCTTAGGCATATACTACATAACTAGTAGTGAATACATACCTCTTGCCCACTCCCCGATGTGGGGCAGTCTTAAGAACCTTTTGGACCCCAAGAAGCCCAGGAAAACGCCGTAGGTTTGGGCGGAGTCGTTCCAGGAGGGCGTCTCTCAGGCAAGATGCAATGTAAAATATGTACAGCCCAGTCCTTAGCGAGTCGTGGCATCGGAAGTTGAAATGATAAGGACGGGTGGTAACACACAAAAGAGAAAGTGTCATTTAAATCCTTCAGGCTGGTTACGAACATCAAGCACCCGCTATATATTCCTGCAGCACTGCTCGAGACGTCTATATAATAAGGAAGCTTGGTTAATTGAGTGTACGGCACTCACAGGAAACAACTAATTACAGTGTCACTCCACTTACGTGGGCCCCCCTTTGTTCACAACATCTCTCAAAACCTTGGAACCGAGCATTAAGAAGAACCGATCTTATCCGTCGCAGAAAGCGTCGAAAGCCATGACGTGAAAATGTCGCAAGCCACGAAACATACTCTCAAACCTCAGCATGTCTCAGGCTGAGTGCTCAGTACGCCGGTGTACTGGGAGGCTCTCCCACCCTCCCATCACCCTGGACTTATGGGTGGCTGATGCTGCATGCATTCGGAACCCAACGGGTCATGGAGGTTCCACGAGGTTTCTGGTTGGATTTGTTGTCTCACTGTTCCTTTCTTGCATGTTACCTGGATCCCAAGGTGCCCCACAAATTGGAGACAAGAGCTCAAACAAATGCGTCTGGCTCGATATATATATATATATACACAGGTAAACACACCCTCCAATGCTCAAAATTACTGCAGATCGTCCAATATTTTGAGAGTCTATGTATACTATATATATATATACCGGTCTTCCACTTCCGCCATCGATCCTGCCTGTCCCTCCATCGATCCCAGGTGCCACCAGGTGGAGATCTCGATCAAGACGAAAATGGGTTCCTCCCAACTCACGCCGCCAGCAATGCTCATGAAGAGTGTCCTGAGGCCAAACCATCCTCTGAAACCGCATGGCTGAGCCTCCGAGCCCTCAATCCGTGGGCTGAGGAGGTGGAAGAGGCTGGTAGAACTGAGCTCCATGGAAACCATATTGTGCTCGTCTCCATGAACCCAAGTGTGTGCAAGGTACCCGCCTCTTGGAACAGTCACCTACAAGCACTTCTGGGAAACAACAACCCCTCCCAAGGACCACCTGGACAAGGGCAAGTTGCAGCATCGTATAAGGCAAAGAGCCAAAATAGCGGATGCTCGCGTCTCGTAGTCCTCGCAATGGCCCCTTCTGAAAAGGCATGCACTCGCATGGTCCTAGCTTGTTCATGCAGCCCTCGTATGCCCTTGTCTATTACACACACAAAGATTTTGTGTATATAAACTGCCTGCGCATATATAGATAGAGATATGATATACACATATCAATACTAATTACTGTGCATATATAAAATATATGTTGTTTAAAAACACACAAATAATATTTCCTTGTCTGACTCGACAACCTGATGGTTTCTCCCTAGGAATGCCGGCCATTCAAGCCGTACCAAGCCTGAAACTTGACGCTCAAAGCGTACCGTGAGGTACAACACCCGGCCACAACACTAGTCAGCTCTTGCTTATATACACCTCTTTTCAGGCCAGATCTCATTGACCTGATTCTGATGAACATTTGTGAGCATTTGTGCGTCGATAGCTCTCGATGCACGATGCAGCGAGCCACTTTCTGTGGACATGTCAAAGTCGACTTTGTGGTCGTTGACCTGCAAGCCAAGAGAGCCTTCATTCCTGCTGGACAAAGAGCTCCCAGGTTTTTTGACAAAGATGACAAAGCGCCATGTCTCAGTCTGATCTTTCACTGGACAACCTACTTGTCACATTATGTCACATTCACCATGGACCGGTCACGGCAGCTGCAGTTTGGTGCCGAAGACGGTTTCGGGATGGCCATATTTGGCGCCATATCGCCGGATTCAGTAACAAGTGCATCGCTACTAGTAACAAGTGCCTTACTACTATCTTCCGAACGACTCGCGGTCATTGCCACTCTCCCGTTGCAGACCTTTGTGGCTCCCAGCTGGCCCAGCTGACCTTTGGCCGCTCATCTAAAGGGTCCCCAATCCCACCCTGGGGTTCTGCGGTCGGATTTGCAACCTCAAGTGTCCATATGTTTCCATTCACCTGAGGATTTCCATGGATGTCCTGTTGCCTCCCAACAAGGTGCTTGTCGCCAACACTAGGCCTCGCCCCCACACACCAGCCCCGTCCAGCCAAGGGGCTGTTTGCGCAAAGAGAACCGCAAAGACATAGACCTCACCAGTGGTTGATGCATGCGTGCGTAGTTCTACTTAATTTCCCATTCCCCCTTGGACTTTGGGATGGCAAGTTCAGTACTTACTCTTGTTCCTCACAGGGGAATCTAAAAAAGAAGTGTTCGGTAATTGGCAACGAGTTCCGGAAAAAATAAAAGACACTTCCAATAGGTTTTAGGGCGGACGCGGGTCCACGCGGACGCAGCCTCTCTCACGTCAATTCCTTGAAATGTGTACTGGATCATGCAAGTCACCATGAACATGAGCCAGAATTGGTCGAACACATGCCTTTGTCGCGCAATGTTTGCTGAGTTGCAATCAGCAATAGAAGCATCATTGCCCAAATCAACGCTTTGAGTGTGTGGAGCACCGACTGCACCAAGGTCCTGCAAGGAAACTGGCTTGAGTGAATGCGCAGCATGCCAAACATGAGGCCAAGAACCTGGGTCAAGAGATGCACGCCCAACTTGCGCCAAATAAAAAAAACATTACTGATATTACTGTAATATCGATGAATTAAACATAAACAGCAAACCCACATCTGTGAAGGGCACGAACTTGGAAAAATGGAGCCAATTGGCTACCTACCTCTTGGAGCTGCTTATATACTATAGCTGGTCCGGCCCAACATGCCACTGCTCTTGGATTGGTAACAAGGTCGTCTTGGGTACAGTAAGGGCGTCGCTTGCCTCCCTTCTTCAGAAAGCGATTTCCTAATTAATCTCCTGGATTTGTGAGAAAACAGCAGGCAGCAGGTGGATGAACAGTTGCTAAAGTTAGGACGAGTCCGCTCACTAAGAACAATGATTTCATCCCATGCATGAATAAAAGGCGGGAATCTAAAACCTGCACTTAATCTACCAAGCAATTCTGAAGGCAACGCATCCCGATCATATAATTGTACTAGAGCAATGCAAGCTCAGGTCACCAATGCAAACTTTTGTGACAAGACTCTGACGACCTCTCTGGTTTGTCCCACTTCAGTTGGTTTTCACTTCTGGCCACCCCCCTTTTAGCGTGTAACAATTCCACTCAACCCCACATAGCAGCATCATCCCAAACACTCTTTGGGCACGAAATTCCAGCTTCAACACTTCAACAAAGAAAGCTACATCTTCAGAGAATCCCAAATTCCCATTCCCACCTTGCAGATTCAGCCTTAGTCTCCCTCTCTCTCTCTCTCCCTGTTGTTCGCTCCTCAAGGCCATGACGAAGCGGAAGATCCGCACCAGCTGCGCTGTCTTCAGGATTCGAGTCAGCCGGATGATCCGGAAGGCCTCAAGCCCGTGCCGGCCCGTGCCGCCCGTGGCTCTCTTCCAAACTCCAGAGACTCCGGACAGTGTGGGTCCCCGGGCCTGAAGGACAGAATGTTGTCTTTTACCGGTTTGGTCTGTCGAGGGCCTTTTGATTGCGACTCTAAACAATCTTGCGGCTCGACGTCCAGCCCCAAAAAACAAACACAGATCCTCGTGGCGTCTGTCAGCATGGCTGGCACTGGTTGGCCTTTTCTAGATCCGTCCCTGGCTTGTATTCTGGGGTGCCCCGAGAACCGTTCCAAACAGCTCCTGTGCGTCCTGCCCAACGCCAGGCCTTCAAACTCGAAATGCCACTGAAGCTATTGGCACCCTCGTCCTGTTCCTGACCGTACCAAGAGTGCCATGCGCGAACAGGTGAAACAAACATGCCCCACACATACTACTACTACTACTACTACTACTACTACTACTATCCCTACCCAGTATGCAGGGGGGACCTGAAAAAATGTAACTTACATTTTCCTGTTCGAGGGTGCCTGGAAAATGTAAGTTACACTTTCTCAGAAAACCCTGGAAAATGTAAGTTACAATTTCCTGGCATCCACAGGCAGAAAATGTAACAATCTGCAAAAAATGTAAGTTACAATTTCCAGGCAGTCTGCCTACAACTGTAACTTACATCTTGAGAGTCATAAACTGCAGCATGCTGTAGCAGTCTTTCCCTCTGCGCTTTTCGCAAGTGCCCACCTGCTTGTGTGTTGCCTGGGGCACACTTAGTTACATTTTTTATCACCCAACCACTGCCCAGCGTTCTCCCTGCCAGCCACAGCTGGTCCAATTTCTACTGTGGAAGTACAAACAGGATAAGAAAAAATGTAAGTGAGTTCTGGGTAGGCATGAAATACTCCATTATCACATATGGTTCCCTGTCCTGTGTGCCACGGGAGGGTTTGCTTCCAGCATCCTTCTTTCAGCATCTCTCAGTCATTGGCCCACCACACTACAAGAAACGCTTGGCCATCCCCTGTCTCACACCTCCCAAGCCCAAAAAGGAGAAAAAACTTCATAAAAGGACCATAATAAGTGTAACTTACTGTTTGTCCAGGGCTTGAAAACTTGCATGTTTACCTGCTTGTCTGTTGCCTGGGGCGCACTTAGTTACATTTTTTTATCACCCAACCACTGCCCAGCGTTCTCCCTGCCGGCCACAGCTGGTCCAATTTTTACTGTGGAAGTACAAACAGGACAAGAAAAAATGTAAGTGAGTTCCGGGTAGGCATGAAATACTCCATTATCACATATGGTTCCCTGGACTGTGCGCCACTGGAGGGTTTGCTTCCAGCATCCTTTGGCCCACCACACTACAAACCCCCTGCCTCACACCTCCCAAGCTCAAAAAGAAAAAAGACTTCACAAAAGGACCATAATAAATGTAACTTACTGTTAGTCCAGGGCTTGAAAACTTGCATGTTTACCTGCTTGTCTGTTGCCTGATCCACCAATGTTTCACCTCCCAAGCATCACCAAGCCTTATCCCTGCCAGCCAGAGCCAAACAAAATAATGAATTGACCATGTCTATTCTATCTTTGAAAATCTCGTTTAGTCCAATTCGGTATTGTCTTTCTCAACGGCATGTGCCATCGTGGAGCCAAATGCTCTACATACACATGCAAGCTCCACGAAGCTAAAAGCGGGGGAGAACAAATGTAACGTAACTATACACCTGTGAGACTACCTTGGAGGTATCTTGTTACATTTCTTCCACCCCCCCAAAAAATGGCATCGGGGGGGGGGTGCAAAAATGTAACATAGGCCCTGGGAGGTCCATAGTTACATTTTATAGGCCCCCTCCCCCCCCTCCAGAGACCCTGAAATCTTGCCTGGGGGGGGGGGTTGTTACATTTAGGGTCCCCCCCAAAAAATGTAAGTTACATTTTTGAGGTCCCCCCCCTCGAAAGCTCAGTAACAGGGTGGACTACTACTACTACTACTACTACTACTACTACTACTACTACTACTAC